CCAGTTCTTAACCATCGCGCCACTCGGCTGGCCCTACATTTACTTTTGTTCAACATCATTCTATCATTTATCAACTTTTTTTTTTTTTTTGGCACTGGAGACCAACACATTGCTTGTCTTCAAGGAGAAATTATAAAAGCCCCATCTGTGAACTGAACGTTGTCCAGTACTCCGCATCTGCAGACTTCCAGTGTATTTTCCACTCTGGGAAAGTAGGGGAAGGACTAGGCAGGGCTGTGTCCAGGTTTCAGAGAATCCTTAAGACACAGGATGCCCAAGCAATGCGTCAGCTCCGGTCCAGAGAGAGGGCAGTGGGGCAGGGCCCCTGAGAATCTCAGGGACAATGTGGGACTTCACCTCCACAGGGTCTAAATAGCCAGCTGTGTCGACTGCTCTGGGTCATAAATACTTTGTCAGTGCAGATTAGAAAAGTGTGCCCAGGTGGTCTAACATAGGGATGATTGGGGACCTGTGGGTACAGACACATTTTAAAGGCACTGCGTAAAGCATGGTTGGGATAGTGTTTGCTGTTGTTAGAACAACCTCAGCATGCTGTTTCTACCATACACACTTGAAGCACTGTGTCCATTAATTTATCACAAGGTCAGCCAGCAAAAGGCAGCCTGACCTCTGGCTCATGGAGCAACACGCAATGGAGTATGTGCATTACACTTGTGAGATATTACTTTCTTTCTTGTTATCTTTATTCCAGACTGTTGGAAGCAGATTAAATATCCCTTTGCCAGACATCAGTCTGCTGAGTTTACCATCAGCTATGATAATGAAAAGGAGATGACACAAAAGTTAGATCTCATCACAAGTGACATGGTGGGTAAGTGCCAAGCCTCTATGACGGTGCTATGAAGGTTGTGTTGCTTGTGGAAGAAGGGAGACCAGGAGAGAAATAAGACCCAAATCCTTTTGTTTAGATGGGGTCCTATAAATGAGTAAGTAATATGTGAAGTTTTCTCTCTGCACTCTGCACAGAATTACAAACTGACACTTGAGATATTTCACAACAGCCCCATCCAGTTGAGACTTTTATGCCTGCTGGGATTATCATGACACCCAAAGCAGTGGCCCTGAAGTACCATTAAAATCTGGAAGCTCTTAATTAATCTGTTTTTTTACTAAGGTTTTCATTAAGCCACTAGGAAAGATGAACTAAGGGACTAGAAAGATAAGTTAAACAGCTTCTGCGCCTACGGAAGAAGAGATAGGAGATGATGGAACCTGTCCAGTGATAGAATGGCCTTATGTCCCTGACAAGCTGTCGTTAAGAGTTGAGCTTCTAAAACTGTCTGTGGGGAAGAATCCATTTTTTGCCTTTTTTTTTTTTTAAATTCTAATCCACTAAGGACTGATCATTTTGTAAAATGCAATATAAATTAGTAGTAATTTCATTTTTAAAAAGAAATACAAAATACACAGCTCTAATTTTCTTTTTATTAGACTCAAGGGACATAACATTACTCTCTCACGTTGCTGTAAGTTTCTAAACACTTGCTCTCAATGTGTGTACTTACCTCTTTACAGACCTGTCACAAACGGTTCTCAGATATATAGGCATCTACAGACCACACTCTAAGTAGCACTGCTCTAGCTTCTTGCTTCTCAAAGTGTTTTGCAGACCAGCAGCAGCAGCATCGCCGGGAGCTTACTAGAAACGCAGGCTTTCAGGCCATGCCCCAGGCCGACTGAACCAAAAGTTCCCAGATGTGCGTGCGTGTATATATCACAGCCAGAGAGGAGCCAGTGGATAGGTTGCCTGAGCCACTTCAAGGGCAAAGAGAACATCTCTCCAACGAAAGTCCATCTTCTTGTTCCTTTCTCCCAACAATTCTAGTTCTATTGGGTTGTCGAAAAAGTCATGATGTATTTTTTCTATGTTTTTTCGTTGCAAAAATGCGTCATGACGTTTCCGACAACCCAATATGTTGGGGGAGGAGCCAGGAGAGGGGAGAACTGTTTGTCTGTCCTCTTCTTCCTTTCATTCTCCTTCAGCTTCCTATGCAGCCTCTCCTCCGTCCTCTCTGTGTGATCCTTCTTGGTCTCTAAGATGTGCAAGGCCCAGGTCGCCCTCTTGCCGCACTCCTCTGCAGTCTTCCCCCACGCAGTCTTGCCCACTCCCGAGCTCTCAGCAGAGCCCTTCCTTGCATATTTGTCCGCTCTGCTGCTCACACCCAGACTTTCCTCCTGGCCCCCAATAAGTAATTCTCATCTGCTGGACATCTTCACCTCCAAGTGTCACCCATTTTCCAAGGGGGTCCGAAATCGAACACTATATCGTATATAGGTTATGCCTAGCCCTCCCCACGTATGCTCCCTGCATTCCTCTTCTAAGTGGCTTCCCGACTCTGCATCCCAGTTTTCCAGGTTTAACCTGGGAAGGATCTCTGGCGCTCCTCTTTCCTCATACCCTACCTGTATCATTGGTAATAAATTCCTCTGATTCCTATCCTCAAAGTGTGACCTTTCCAAGGCTGCTGCCAGTTCCCTAGTTTGTAATTTCTGTATTTCATTACTCCTCGTTTTTCTTTTTTTTATCTTCTTTTTTCTACCCCCACAGTTACCTCTGACTGTGCCAGTCTTTTATTTAGAATCCTCAGTAGGTTTCTACAGAATTAAATCAAATTCCTAGCAACACACTCAGTGCTTCTCAAGATCTAGCATATGGTTAACAGCACACACTTAGGATGTGTGCTCGAATTCTCGCTTCATTGGCTGCCAGCTGTGTGATCTTGGAAGAGTTCACTTAATCTCTCTGCTTCATTTTTCCATTTTTAAAATGGAGTAATAGTCCCTAACTCATAATGCTTTTTTTTTGAGGATTTAATTAATGAATATCTTCATAGAACCATGCCTGGCATGAAATAACGACTCCATAAATGTGAGTTTTATCATTATCATCACCATTATCATTAGTCCCCAACCTACTATTTTCGTCTTTATGTTCTACTAAACTACATGTCCCTCATCCTTTGGTCACATCAAACTCTAACTGTTTTCCTGGTGTTTGTTTAATAGACTTAGTCACTTTTCCCTCCATATATATCCAAAATTTGGCATTTCAAGAGCCAGTATAAGAGGTCCATGAAGTATTTTTCCCCACAGCCCTAGACAGGGTGAAACGAAATCTCTGCCTCTCTCCGCTCCTGTGACCCTGGAAGCTTCCTGAAGCAGGCGTATGGTTGTGTAAGGCCCTAAGTGCGGCATCTGTGCCTTTTACATTCTGGTCTTTCTCCTCGCGCCTGGTACACTTTAGGCGCCCAGCAGAGCTGGTTGAGCAGAGCACCCTGCTCTACACACAGCTGGCTTGTGCGTGTATCAGTGTGCTGCACAGTGATGTTCTTTTGATTCTGCTCTTTTGATTTCAGATTACCAGCAGCCTCTCATGATTGGCACTGGGACAGTCACGAGGAAGGGCTCCACCTTCCGGCCAATGGACACTGAGGCAGACCAGGCAGGGGCGAGTGCCGAGGCCTGCAGCCACTACGATTGCCCTCCCTCCTCCGGCCGCCACGAGTATGCACTGCCCTTGACCAACCCCGAGCCAGAGTACGCCACGCCCATTGTGGAGCGGCACCTGGCCCGCGCGCACACCTTCTCGGCGCAGAGCCGCTACCGTGTGCCGGGGTTCCAGCAGGCGCACAAGCACTCCCTGTCTTCTGGCAGCTTCTCCCCAGCTGCAGTGGCAGCTGTTGCCAACAGCGCGGGCTACCAAAGGCCTCAGAGCCCCGCGCCCTCCGACCCAGGCTACGATCAGCCCAAAGCCGGGGGCTGCTTAACCGCAGAGCGCGCAGAGCCGGACTATCAGAAGCCCCAGATGAATGATGCTTACTCAGCCCCCAGAGACTGCCTCAAGCCCCTCAACCAGACGGCCGTGACTGCTCTTCTGTGAACACAATGTGAAAGAAACCTGCTGTGGTACTGAGCATCGGGCTGTGTGCAGCTCTGAAGAAGAGAGATGTGTGTGTGTGTGTGTGTGTGTGNAGAAAGAGTTGTAGGAAGACATGGTCTGGTGTCTCGTGCAGCAGAGCGGAAATGCTACTTGAGGTCATCAGGCTGCATTTCCTTTCAGTCCACAGCTCCAAAGCTCTGGTAATGAGAAGCCCAGGGTTCCCAGGCCGCTGTTATTGTACAGGTCCAAACCCGCCCACCATGGGGGGGCGGGGGACGGACTAGTTGCTTGAGCCAAACTAAGAGCTCCATGCTGTGCTGAAATCTTTTGCCTGTCTGAATAGCTCCTGGCTGGGTGGACCAACTTTAAATCTTCCCCTTTAATTCTGACTTTTGGAGTCTAACATGGTCCAAGCAACAAGCTCATGGTAGATGTTAATCCCTGAGGTACATTGAAAGCTGCCTTTTGGAATGAAATCTTGCCATTTCTAACAACATGAATGGATCTAGAGGTTATTATGCTAAGTGAAATAAGTCAGACAATGAAAGACAAATGTATGATTTCACTTATATGTGGAATTCAAAAAACAAAATAAATGAACAGACAAAACAGAAACAAACTCATAGATACAGAGAACATTTTGATGGTTGCCAGATTGGAGCGGGTTGGGGAATGGGTGAAAAGGGGGAAGGGATTAAGATGTACAAATTGCCAGTTATAAAAGCAGTCACAGGGATGTAAAGTGCAGCACAGGGAATATAGTCAATAATATTGTAATAATTATGTATGGTGTCAGATGGGTACTAGACTTATCACTTCGTAAGTTATATAAATGTCTAATTACTATGCTATACACCAGAAACTAATATAATATTGTATGTCAACTGGAATTGAAAAAAAACTTTTAATTTTTAAAAAGTATAAATAAATAAAAAAATTAAAAGAAACCTGCCTTTGGGGGTGGGGAAGGTAACTTTTATTTTCCTAAACCTTAGCCAGGGTTTTGAATTCTCTCATTTTGCTTTCCAATGTCAGTAAATGCCTAGCATGTATTCATTTCCCCCATATATTAACGCTTGGAAGACCCTTCAAGTCAATGTTGAGTTTTAGATCATGAAATGCGGTTACAGGTCATTTCTGTTGTAATGTGGTGCTTCCGCCCTCTTAGGAATAAACATCACAATGGTTGCTGTTCCCCTGGTGCTCCTCCTGGTCCTGCTAAGTGCTGGAATGGGAATCTTTGCAGTCTTTAGGAAGTATGTGACTTTGCATTTGTAAATTTCTTCTCTAATTATGTAAACAATCACAAAAACAAAACGTTTACTCTTCAGATGTTCATTTGTAGAAAAGCAGCATTACTTCTTCCAATGTAAAATGTTAACTTATATTTTCCAAACAAGTTGCATAGAGGTAGAAAATATCAAGTAGTATTTTAGAAACAGTACTTATAATTTAAAAACCTTTCCTATAGGCTTGTTTTTGTCTCAATAGGAGGAAGAAGAAAGGCCATCCTAAGGGATCTGCTAAGCCTCAGAAAACAGGTTGGTGGAAAACTCTATCTACAGTTTTACTCTGTCTTTGAGGAAGGGACAGGATCTGTTGATCAAAATCACAATTCAGTCTGTGGCCACACTTGTATGGATAAAAGAAATAAGATCTATAGCCTTTAAGTTAAGAAATTTATAAGGAAGGAATATATTGTATTCTGTCTTTATAATTCAGAGTTTGTCGGGCCAGTTTACATTTATGG